GGCTAGTACATAATAATATAATATTTTCCAATTATGCCTTGCACAATTTGAAATGATTTATTTTCTTATTTATTATACAATATTGTAAGTATTATTAATGCCCGTCCTTTTTAAGAAAACATCAGGGACGGGCAGTAATGGCACAGTAACCCGTCCCTTTTTCACCCGTCCTTTTCAAGATTTCCCCAATGAATAATAGAAAAGGACGGGGGACGGGTTGCTGTGCCTTGACCCGCGCCACGCCCGTCCCTCATAATTGCCCGTCCTTTTTTAATTATTTTGAAAAACACCCGTACCATTGCCCGTCCTTTTCTAGTATTAAAGGGCCAAACGTGAAAAGGACGGGGGACGGGTTCAAGCCACACCTGCCCGTCCCCCGTCCTTTTCACGTGTCCCATCAGGTTTTATAAATCCTTTATGAAATAAGCATGGAAATATATCAGCAAGAACCAGAGAAATTATCAATCAAAAATTAATGAGGAAAATCTTGTAATTTTACTATATATTCATGTCGTTAGCAGCTGAAAATTTTTACATGATTTTTTTGATTATTATTATATGCCCTTTGATGGAACATGCAATGATCCAATAATTTTCTAAATCTGAAATTTTGAGGCATTAGATGAAGATCACTCGATTAACCAATTATTTCTACAAGATGATGCTTGCGTGATGTGCAATGGGATCATTGGTATTGCAACAAAAGTGATTTATGGTTGAAAACATTGAAGTGGCATTTTCAATTCCAACAAGTATATATAAGCAAAATAATTTTGAAGTCGATGGCAAAAGTGCATCAAGACAAGAATTCCCTTTCCAGGATGCATTTGCACTAACAGTTCATAAGACCCAGGGTTTAACTTTAACGAGTCGGGCTCCTTTGTTAGAAAAATTGGCCTCAATTAAAGATTTTGAACTAATCCGAATTATTAATGGACCCGAATTCCATTGAACCAATTTTTCCTAATTCAAATCCAAAAACAATCTAAAGACGCTCCAAATGAATATATGATTATTTAAAGACGCAACCACGAAGGAGGATTTACTTGCATATATAGCTGAATATCTTTGGTCAAACAGCAAGCAGATTTGGATTGACAAATTACGAACATTGTTAACAACTATCCCAGATGCACAGCTTCCATAGACATCAATTCAAGAGCTAATTAAAACTGCACCGGTGTTTGCACCTTGTTATAATAATGTATATATCAATGGAATGGCCATAGAAATTAACATCAGCATCACATCAAATCTACCAAATTGTATTTTTGAACCTGTGGGTATTAAACTGGATTTTCAATGGTATAAGTAGGAAAAAACATGGGAACAAATGACACACAACAACCTGCTCTCTGATATTTTCTTTTACTCGTGAAAACAATACTAGCCAAAATAACAAACATCATAAAGAATATAGCAGAACGGTGTCTTAAACAAGAAAATACAACTTTTGTGGAAGAAACTGATCTAGAAAATGTTGAATAAAGAAAAAGAACAAGGGTATGGCAACGGAAAAATGGAATGGAAACAAAAGAAGGTTTGAAAGAACATGTGATAATTGCATTTGATCAACGGCTATAATCACAAAAAAAAACAAGAAATTGCAAAAGAGAAAAGACAAACTGAACAACCTCGTACCATTAAATTCCGTTCCTTCCCATCAGAAGATCTAGAAAATAGTTTAATGAAATGACGTGATATGGCAGATAAAATTGATTGATCCTATCTATCTCATGAACAAGAGCATTTGAATACAATCCATTATCCCTTCTGGAAATAAATTAAAAATTCAAAGACGATGAGAATATATTGACGATGAGAAGAAATATTAATTAAATTTCCAAGACATCATTAAACAGGCACATAGTTGGGGACGTTAATTGAATATAATTAAACTGAGTTTAAGCACAAATTCAATTTAATATTAACATTTTTAATATCCGCTCTAAACGGCGCTTCAAAAATGCTTACAATTAAGCTTTAAAGATTATGTCATAAATAATTTGACAGTATGTTTGAAGGGCATTCTCAATAAATTTCTTATCGTTATATTTGAATTAATAGGAATGGTATAATAATTTCGTCTTTAATAAATTATACAACATGATCGAAGAACAAATTGAATATAGTACCACCAATATGTTTTTTTCTTACTGATAAATTATATATGTTAAATGAAAATATGTCTGTCGCGAGATTTTGATGATTCGAATGAAACAACGTCATCATCGCGTATTATATCCCAATGGAAAAATTGATCCTATTTGGAAATTTATCGAGGAAGTTGATGAGAAACGAATTTGTAAAGTTTATCCCAAATCCTGTCCCAAATTTACTCAAAAGAAATTGGAATCACCACAATTGTGATGCATTTTAAGCAAAAGCATCCAAATTCTTGATAAATACATATTTAACGTTAAAATATGAATTGTCAAATGCATTGCGCGTAACGATAAAAATAATATTTAATATGTTGGCATATTTGGAGCCAAACCCGTTCGAGTGAATTTAGTTCTAAATAGCACGCTTAAGAATATTTATATTACGCTTGTTTTTTTTTTAAAAAAATTCAATCTGCTTGAACTCTAAAACTGGATTGAGCCTGAACTAACGAGCAATTTAACATAATGCACTTCCTGATTTCCTTGTATCCATCCCATTTATTTCACCAGAATTTATGATTGAATATGGTGAAGAAATGCCACCAACACTTAAAGCTTCCTGCAATTGGTGATATGACTAGAAATTTATTCTCCCAAAATTAACAAGAAAAGCTCTTCAAATATATCACATTACAAATTTAGACAAACAATGCTTGTTCTCAAAAAAATCAAAAGATGTGGTTTGTACTAAAAAAGAATACACCGCAAGAAGTTGTCCAGTATGTTGACAAACCATTGGAGGCAATAAAAAATATAATTGTAAAGTATGTATGTAACTTCGAATGTATTGATTGTATTACACACATACATAGTGACACCTCGCATTAACTAATTGACATCATTACCAAGATTTAAACTTTCTTAAATATAAATAAATTTTATTTTTGATTTTTTTTTTTTTAAAAAAAATTTTTTCGTTATTGTAATATTATAAATAATTTTAATAATACTTCCATCTGGTTGGTGTTCATTAAAATTATGGATACTTTAAAAGATGTTCCAGAATTCTTTGAAACGCAACTTGACGAATCTATAGTCGCGAGGACTGAAAGTTTAGGTATTATTATTACTATTATTATTAATCTTTCTCTTTTGTCAAGATTATACATCGAATCTTTAATTTTTTTGTTATTTATTATCAAATTATCCTTAATTAATAATTTAATTAATGATTTAATATAATTTAATTAATTTTATTAGCTACTTTTCGTGAGCTTGGTCCACCTGACCTTTGTCACATAACGAAAGCTAATGTCAAACCTGGTGTTAAAGAAGTAACTGTTGGAGAAATTGTTTTCAATTAATGATTTTTAATTAATCATTTTTCTCCTTTTAATTTTAATTACTTAGGTTGGATCTTATCATTATGTATCTGGAGTAGATGCATCTTCATCAGCAACATTAGCTGCTTATTTAAATTCATTGACTTACGCTTTGGTAATATCTATACTATATCGATTGATATTGGATATATATCTATAATATTTACATGATTATAATTATAATCATAATCATGATTATGATGATAATTACATTATTCACTTATTAGGAAGAAACTCATGCATGGTTCACGAAATCTTCTGCTTGGAGAATTCGCTCTGGTGTTTATTGGTCAGCGTCAACTTTTATTTATTGATTCTATTATTATTGTCATCACCATTAAAAGATTAAAATTTATTATATTGTTTTTTTAGTTGTTTTAATTCATTCTCTAGAGTCGATGTTCGTGTTGAAGTTAAAATTCCTGGCGGTGTTGATAGTTATGTAGTAGATTTACGCGGAGAAAGGTAAATAATTAATAAATTGGTGAATTAATGAATTGAAGGATCCGTTGATTTAATTGACTGATGGATTGATGAATTGACGAGTAATATTTATCACAATAATAATAAGAATAATAATAATAATAATAATAATAATAATAATAAGAATAATAATAGTAACAATAATATAATTATCATCGTCATAAACATTATATAATAATAGACATGAAGCAACAGCAGAAATTTGGCAAGAAACATATATTTCAGCTCTTCTACGTTCCATACTTTATTCAGATGATGTCAATTATAGATTGGCAGGCTTTCGTAAATTAAATCCGATTCCAAATATTGAAGCAGAAGCACAATTTTTGGAAGCTGCAGAAAATTTATTTTTTAAAGGTATTATTATAATTAACATTGTTTATCTATTCGTATAATGATAATAATAATAATAGATCATTTTTATTGTTTAGGATGGCAGTTGGGTTCAGATCCGGAAATACAGGTTGCTACAGTTGTTAGTAATCATTTAACGGCTGGAATAATGAAATATTTTAGTGAAAATTTTAGATTTGAACGAGCTGTTAATCTTTTTGAAAAATATATCCTTTAATAATAATATTATTATTATTATAATGACAATTAATGAATGTTCGTAATGATAATAATGATGATAATTATATTCTTAACTGATAAACACTGTATGCTAGAGATCCCGAGGTTGCATCCTTATTATCTCGAGCTTATATAGGAATGGGTAATTGATATTAGAATTATACATATTTAATTACATACTCATATTTATTTGCATATATTTATCCATATTAATAATTATTAACAGGTGAAGAAGTTAAAGCAGTTCATATACTATATAACGCTTTAAGACAAAATCCAATGAGTTATTCACTTTTACATGTTCAAACCGATTTTTTATTATCAAAGGTGGGATATGATAGCAATCTGATTTCTTCTTCCCATTCCTAAAACATATATACACACACATATACACGCACACACACTGATATCTTTCATATTGTTATTAGAAAAAAACAGATTTTGCACTAAAATTAGCTAAACAAGCAGTTAACTGTGCCCCTTCTGAATTTGTTACTTGGGCAAAATTGACAGAAGTTTATATTGAGATTAGTGATTATGAATCAGTAAGTAGTATTTTTGAAAATTGTATTTATAATATTAGTTATATTTTATATTTATATGTACATTTATATATATAAATATTCTTACATAATTTTTTCTTATGTGTAAAGGCATTATTGACATTAAATTCGTGTCCAATGTTTACATATAATGAAAGAGACGTTCATCGTATGCCAACGCCAGCTAAGACTCATCTTCCCATCAAACAAGATGTTTCAAATTCTGGAGTTCTCGAAGATGATAATGATCGTGATAATAATGAGGTGTTAAATATATATTATTTTTTTTTTTTCAATGTCGCCAAGGCTATTTATTATCTTTTTATGCTAACAAAATATTTATATTTATATGTTTGTTAAAAGGCTGATGTTGCACTTTTACGTCTACCTGCACCATCTCTTCGTGGCACTTTTGCAAAAGCATATGCATTGTTAACACTTTTAGTAGCGAAAATTGGATGGGATGAATTATTAAAGTGTCGATCATCAGTTTTTGTCATGGAGGAGGAGTATCGTATGCAAAAGGCTGCCGAGGAAGAACGTAAACATCAAAAAACTTACACCACTGCTACCAAGACCGCTACCAAGACTGCTGATGTTACTACCACCAAAAATGAAATAGTTGAAAAGTTATCATTACCATCAACCAATAATGATAATAGTGAAAAAGAACCATCATTAGTAGTAGTAGAAAAAGAGAAACAAGAAAAAACAGAAGAAGAAAAGGCAAAAGAAGAAAAAGAAAAAGGGGGAGAAAAAGAAAAAGAGGAAGAAGAGTTGAATTCAATACCATCTATAGTTGTTTCAGATGATAAAGAGCTTTCTGATAAAAAAGAAAAAACAAGCGACAACAGCAATGATGATACTAATAATGTAAATGATGATGATACTACTACGGCTTCAAATTTCTCAACAGCAATATCGAAATCAGATGATGAAAAAAATGATAACGATGAGAACGATCAACAATCAGTTAATTCTGAAAATTTGGAGGAAGTTGATTTGGATGACGATAAAACTGTCGTTACTACTAAATCACAACAGCAATCATCAGAAGTAAAAAAAAAAGGAAATTCTGATGATATTAATTCTAATACCACTGATATTGCAACTGCTAATCCTAATGGTACTAATACTAGTAGTAATAAACCACCTTCAGTAATAGAATTCAAAGGTCCTGAATTAGAAAAACCTGTTCAAGCTGCTAACGAGGATAAACCTGAAAATCAACAAATTGAAGATTCTTCAAATAAAGTAACTATTTATAAATATACATTATATACATACGTATATTGTGTATAAATATTAAAATATCATTATTATATTATATTATATTACTCAGGATACATTAAAAAAAGAATACTCATTTTCATTTAACAATAAGAGGCTTTGTGAGAGGTATATCTTTTTAATACATTTTTTCTAATTTCTAAGTTATAAATTATAAACTCTAATTCATATTTAATTTAATTATAGATGGCTTGATAATCTTTTTATGGTTTTATATGAAGTAAATTTTGAAAATTTAAATATGAATTTTATTTATTTTTTTATTTATTCTACGTGACCATGTATATTCTTATATATTTTATATATACAACAATATAATTATTTATTAGGATTTAAGAGTATACACACTTTGGAAATCAGAAATGGCTCATTGTAAAGCAAATCATCAGTCATATCGTAAGACTGGTACCGAATGGGAAATTTTAGGAGATTTAGCGGCAAGATTACATCATAAAGTAATAATCATAATTTATTAATTAATAATAGTAATAATAATTGTAATTGTAATTGCAATTGTAATTGTAATTGTAATAATAATAATGATTTTCTAATCTTTTACATTTTAGAATGATGCTAAAGAAGCATATCAAAAATGTCTTGAAAATAAATTTTCCGCTAAATCATGGTTAAAATTATTGGAGTATTGCGCTGATGAAGGCGATATAGAACATGCATTACTGGCAGTGGTTAAATTAACAGTTTATCAAGAGAGATGGTATCACGAAATAATTGTAAGTGTAAAAAAAAAAAGTATTTTTTGGGGGGAGGAAGCAAATTAATAATTAATTTACATTATATATATTTTAATACATTACGTTTATAGTATCCAACTGTAATCGCATATAACTTAAACAAATTAGCAAAAAATGAAGGATTAACCAAAATACGTCACCATCTTATTTCAATGAATTTGAATCCATCTGTATCAAAAATGGTTTCCAGATATATAGAATATGGCGAATCTTTCAAGATTCCTGGTTCTAATTTTTAAAAAGTAAATTATTTTTTTTAGGCTTAATTTTATATTTTAAATTTTTATTTTAATTAAAAAAAAATAATCGTTTATTATTATATTAGAGTAGACATTAGGTGTTATTATTATTATTTATCAGTTGTTTACTGATTAATTTCGGATCGGAATGTTTTTATTTATTTGATATTTGTGTGTTTTTTTATTTTTAATAATTTAACATAATAAAAATAATAATTTATTAAATAAATAATTACAAAAAATTTTTCTACCTGGAGAAAATAAAAACTATCTATCTGATTTTAAGGACATATTTTTTATTCCTTTTCCAATAACTTTTAACATTGATGGTGACGCTGTTTCTGATGGATTAGATTTTTTGAAAGATTTCAATAATTTTTTCTCTCTATTTGTAATTTTTGAACATTGTTTCAATGCTAATTTAACATCATCTTCAGATATTTCATCATGAATGTTTTCCATTAACCAACTTAATATATCATATCTTTCTTTTTTAACTGTTAACGACAACAAATTATCACCTGAATTATCTATTACATTTGTTACTTTAGCACCTTTTTTCATTAACAATTTGAACATTTTTAGTGACCAATCAAATCCAATAGCGAAAAATAATGAATTTGGCGCCGAGAAATGATCACCTGACACATAATAAATATCAGTCGGGATGTTTGGATCTCCTCCATTTTCCAATATTGTTTTGATAATTGAAAATTTAACTTCAAGATCAATAGTTTCAGTTAGATAATAAGAAAGCAATGTCCTACCGTCACGATCTATTTCATTGATATTGGTTCCATATTTCACTAATGTTTTTATAGAATCTAAAACATATTTTACCGCTATATTAATTTTATTAATATAAACTTCACCATCATCATCATCACCATCATCATCATCATCATCATTATTATTTTTTTGTATAAGTTTATTGTTATCGAATAAACAGTGTAGTGCATTTTTATTAGTTGACTGCATTCTTGCGCTAAAATTTGATCCTTTTTTTTTTAAAACATTAAAGATTGAGACGATATTTTGCCCAGGACAATACCTTGCTGCAATTATTAAAAGCTTTTCATGGGATTGAACAAATGGATATGGATCTTCAGTTTCTTCATTTTTTGTATCAAGGTGAAATAATAATCCTTCTGCGTCTCCTATTCCTGCATGAAGACCTGCATGACATTCATTAGGATCTTCAAAACCTAATAGATTCCCATAATTTTCTCTATATTTCTGTATTGTTTCATCACATCTATTAATATATGTTATCGGTTTTGAAGGCTATGATTATATGCATACGTGTGTGTTTAAGTATTTCTTTTTTTTTGTAAAAAATAATTATCAATAAATAGTAATTAAAAATTTTTTTTAAACTCACAACACGAGGACCAAAAGATTTCTTTCTCGATGGCAATGTTCTCGATTCATCATTATTATCAATACTGGCGATTGTTGTCGGTGATGAAACTATTGAATCATTTGGAGTGATGATGTATTCTGACTGATTTTGTCGATTATTATTTTTGTGATGATGGTAATTATAATGACTATTATTATAAGGAGGTGATGAAATAGAAGATGACGAAGAAGCTGCAGTTTGTATTTGATACCATTCACCCGAACTATGAGGCGTATTTATATTAGATGAATTATTTGAACTATTATTGTTTAGAATTGCTGTTAATTCATTTGAATTACTTTGTGTAATAATTTGTAATGAGGGCGGTTTTTGCATTAATGATGGTGGCGGCGGCGGCGGCAGCGGCGGTGATTTCGTATTAACACCGACGTGATTATTAGTACTATTATTATGATATTGAATAAATTGTGTGTAATTGTTACTGTGATAAGATGGTTGATTATCTATATTTATATAAACGCACATAAATATATAAATATATAATTTAGAAGTTTTAATTATCAATTTTTTCAATTTTAAATAATGACTTACTGGCATTGCTCGTAATAATATTCATGTCCGATTCTGCGTAAATAGTATTTCTATGATTACTATTATTAACAATATTGTAGTTATTAAAGTTATTGCGAACATCGAATGTGGAAAAACGACGTTGATTAGCAATAGCAGCGGCAGTATAGCATGGTTGTGTGTAAACGGGAAATAATTTCATATTTAAAAGTTTTCCAAGTATTACACTAGCCACAGACCGATCATACGGTTCTCTAAGCCATGCACTTTCATACAACGCTATATATTCTATGGGGGTTTTGTTTATCGGTAATTCTCTTTTTCCTTTAAGAATATCGTCGCAAATTTTTTCGCTGGAATTATTGTTATTATTAAAATAATAGGCAAATGGAGGTCGACCGCTTGATAATTGCCATAAAATTACTCCTAAACTATAAATGTCCGAGGCTGTATCTTTCCTGTGATCTGGGAACCTTAAACATGCTGGATCGATATATGGAATCGTTGTAATTTTTTTTGGCGAATAACAATATTTCGAATTTATTGGATACCCATAATCTGTTATCCTCAACACATTATTATTTATTAATATATTGTTTGGATGCTATTGTGATGGAATAGAAATTAATTTATTGTTATTATAACATCATCATCATTTTTATTATTGTTATTAGTAAATATTACCAAATTACGATGCACAATTCCATTTTCATGTAAAAATTTTATTCCTTCAACGATTTGAATGGCCATTTGAATCTTTAATCTCCAGTCTAATAAATTAAAGGCTTTAAGCAAATAATTTCCAAGTGTACCGCCATTTGCATGTTCCAACACCATAAAATATTTCTCAGAAAATGATTCTATTAATAATTTTGTTTATTATTATTTATTATATTATCATTGGAGCACATAATTGTAAATACAGTCAACCCCCTCTAAATGCATGTAATTCTCATTCCCAAGCTTATAATGAGCTTATAGGATCTCCCCTTCTAAATGCACGCTCGTGAGTGATAGTAATATGTTCCCAAGGAGGGTGACTGTATATAAATATATGTAATAATAAATACCTAGAGTTATTCCATAAAATCTTATAATATTATCATGAAATCTGATAGATTTAATTTTTTTCATCTAAAAAATTTAAAAAATCTTCATTATAAAAAATTCCGATGAAAAAAAACCAAAAATATAATAGTATATATACAACATTACATCTTGAACAAAATCATTATATGATTGATGATAATTTAAAAAATATGGATCATTATTATCATTTAAATCAATATTATGATCAAACAAAGGTTTTATAACTACTAAATTCCCCAAGTTTGGCAAATAAGCAGTTGAAACCTTTCCAAAAGTTCCTTCTGCAATCAGTTCTACATGTTGTAAAGAGGTGTTTTGGATTACATTTATATGACCATCAGTTATGGCTTCATTTAACCAGTGTTTTTGATTTTTATACATTTTTGTAAATGTGAAAGGTATATAGGTAGGTATATATAGTAAAAAAATTCTAAAATCCTAATTAATTAGGAAAAAAAAATTTTTTTTCTCGAGGAAAATTTTTAAAATGACAAATCCCAAAAAAGTTGTTTATTTATATGCGTGTTTTATCACGTGGTCAGTAGCACCGCACAACATCATCACCTACTTGATAGAACATTCTTCCCTCAAAAAAAAAAAAAAAAGAAATTTCCAAACAAAGAAAATTGCTTGTCGCCAAGTAAAACTGATATTTGATTTATATTAAATATATTTAACATAGAATTGTCAGCAAACCGACCTTAATATTAATTATTAATATAAAATATCGTGTAACATAACTGAATACAAAAAGATCGACCTACTGGAAAAAGCATAGCGGACATTCTTGTCGTAATTTGAAAATTGATCTGCGTAACCTGCCACGAATGTATTGCGTAAAAGTATATAGGAACAAAAAAATTATATTATCGGTGACACTTTTTTTTTACATAGATATGGCTTACATTATTCTACAGTTAAAATGATGAATTATCATTATACAACCATCAAAGAAAAAAAAAACAATATCAACATCAACATCAACTAATGAGTAATAATACTATTATCAATATAATTCTATTGTTCATAAAATTCTAAATCATAAATTAAAATAATATTATTCTTGTACGTTACGTATATGATTTTTAGGCCAATTTTTATGTGATATCTTGTGACAATTTTTAACCAATCAAATGTGATCGACAAGAATGTCACTATAATTATAAATATTTATTATATACCTATTTTGTTTTTTTTCATTTTAATTAATTTTTTTTTGTCTTTCGTGATGTAAACAACGAATTATTCAGATGATGGTGGTTTTAATCCTATATTGTAACAAAGCTTTGTTGCATTTAATATAATCTGACGATCTAGCACACGCAAGAGCCATGGATATTGCTAAATGTAAATCAACAATAAAAAATGTAGAATATGTGTGTTAAGAAAACAAGTTGGATATCTCAATATCAATTATCAGTGCCAACATAGTCTTTGGTGATGGAAGTGAAATCAAAACAAAACAAATTTTCTGATGATCCAACAAAAATTTATTTTTGGCTCAAAAGGCAAAATCATAACAGAGATTACAGAGATTGAATTATTTTATTTACTTCCTAATCAACGTCGTTGGAGAAAATGGTTTCCAGGTATTTTGTAAATATTACAAATTTTGTCTTATTTCTTTGATCAATAAGTATTATAATTTTTTTTTGATAATTTAATATAGATCTTATTATGTACCAATTGAAAGAAAATTAGAGAAATTGATATTAGTAATGAAGATCCATTTATCTCTGGGGAACAGATTTTGCAAACATTAAAATTTTATTCATGTTATTTATTATGAATTCAATAAATATATTTATTTGGTAGCGAAATGAAAGGCATTCTAGACAAATGCATAGAAGGTAACATATACACAAACGATCTTTTATACGTTTTCTTGGATAAGTGTCTATTAATGAGTGCATGCTTTTTTATATCTAGGCTTTGAATGTGATGTATTTGCAATAGACCTCAATATGATACTGTATACGTAATGATTCATTTGGGAAAATTATTTTGCAATGAAACTATTATGATTTGGGGGTGATGCCTACAGCAATTGAATTGTTATCAACATTAAAAGTCAGTATAAATGTTTCTTGTATGATAATTATAATTATATAATATCCTTATTTTCTACAAAACAAAAGGTTGTAATAGAGTCAGCACAAATAGGTTCACTATATCAAGTACAAACTCCATTCCCCACGGTTTGTGAGGTCGGCTGTGTGATGGATTTCCATGTTGAGAGGATATCCTTATCGGTTGGGTATCTATCAGAGGAGCTGTTACATTGTATAATAATATATAGATGTCTTGAGAATTTTTTTTAAAGAACAAAAATTAAATTATTAAATTCTTTTTTTTCTACCAGTCCATCTAACCACAACCATCTTATAAAACCAAAATTACAAATAATTAAATAATTATAATTATAATATACAAATTAAGTAAGAATAATAGTAATAAATTAAAAGCTCGAATATATAATCAATTATATGAAAATAATGTAATTTCCCATAGATAAAGATATTATGGTAAAAATGATCATAAAACCCTTATTTAGTGAAATATTTGAACCAGAGCCAAATTCATCTTCATCTTGATTATTTGGATTATTTACATCTTTAGATTGTGTTTTAGGTACAGTTACCACTTCAACTGCTGTAACAATTTGAACATCTTCTTTAGATGATGTCTCGGTTGACACTTCTTCGACATTATTATCATCTGTTGTAGTTCGAGTTATTACAACTGGAATTGTTTTTGTAACTTGTTTAACTACAGTTGATGTAGTTTGAATTGATTCTTGATTACCACTAGGAAGAGGAGTAGGATTGTTAGGCGGATTACTAGTGGGATTATTATTAACTGGTGGATTTGGATTTGGGTTGGGCGTTGCGGGAGTCGCGGGAGTCGTGGGTGTCGTGGGTGCTGTGGGTGCTGTGGGTGCTGCGGGTGGTGTGGGTGCTGCGGGTGGTGTGGGTGGTGTGGATGGTGTGGATGCTGTGGATGCTGTGGGTGGTGTGTTAGGATCCGGCAATTTAAAATCTCCCGGGCAAACTTTAGATGGATTCGTATTTTCTAATGTTGGATATCTACCAAAAAGAAAAATTATATAATTAATAAATATAATTGTTAATTAATCAAAAAACCAAAAATTATAATTACCCCATAGTAGATAATAATGCTCTTAATTTTGGGCCAACAGCTTTACCATCAACGGTTAATTGATCAAGTGTAGAACCCAATACCTCTGTCATGAGAAAGTCTGGTGTTTTTGCATAAGTTGCTTTATCAAAGAAATCCAAACTGAATCCTGAGTTAAAAGGGTTTGATTGTGTATCCAAAATAATTGCGTCAGTTTTTTGAGCATCTTTTGGTAAAAAGCTAATCGAATTAGGTGTTGTAGCGAGTTTTGCTAAAGTTTGAGCCATGTTTCCTTGGTCTGATGCAATAAATTTTGCAACAAATTCGTCCTGATTTGCAAAATTTGCTCCGGGACCCCCAGAAAATTTATTAAGTTCCTTTACATAATCTTTTAAAAATTTGCCTTCACCTTGCACATAAAAATTTTTGTCATATGCGTTTTCTTCAAATCCCAAGAATACAACACCATTTCCCACATTCTTTAATAGTAATTTTGGTGTAAATGTTTTTGTCTTTGCAAGTTCAGGTTGGATGTTCCAGCTTGTACGCAAACCTAAACCATGAGTGAGTTCACGTAACGCTAAGGTTGTAAGATCTTGTTGACCTGGTTCAATAGTTTTTACATCATCGTCAAAATGAAACTTATCAGCACCAAGGCCACTGTTGATGTCCAATGAAATGTCATCACCACCAACAGGAGCTTTTGCACAATTAAATTGTTTGATCACAGCTGATGGGTACAATCTTTTCATACCATCGTCATCCACCAATTCGACGGTACTTGCAACAGTGCCTTTGCCATATTGATCGCATCCTTTGCAAATACTTTTAAAGGATGCAGCCACATTGATTTTGCTTACAAGAGCCAAATTCTTTGTTAGAATTCCTCCAGCCTTTTTAATCGATCTTTCAACTTTACCACACACGACTTTATCAGCCAAGTCACAATTATAATTAATAGCAAACATACTATTTGCTATCAACTGATCGTCAGCAGGATTTGTAGTCGGAAGTGGTTGTAAAGGCGTAGTGGCACTAGCACCATTACTAGGAGTGGCTGCAGGTGCTTTTTTAGCATCAGTAGTTGTAGTATTAGGTTGATCGGCTTTAGGTTGATCGGCTTTAGGTTGATCGGCTTTAGGTTGATCTGTTTTAGGTTGATCTGTTTTAGGTGGTTCGACATTAGGTGGATTGGCTTTAGGTGGATTGGCTTTAGGTTGTGCGACTTTAGGTGCAGGGGTTGTTTTAGCATCAGCAGTTTTACTATTTGTGGGAACAGGAGTTACACTAGGTGCTTGAGGTGCTGGTAAAGCACTAATTTGTTGAATTGTAGCTATAATTACCACGACTATTAAAAATAATATAAATAAAATTTTCATTTTTATACTTTTTATATATCTATTATAATGTATGTATGTGTGTGTGTGTGTGTGTGTGTGTATGTATGTTATAAGAGTGTGTGCGTGTTATGTGTGAGTGTGTGCAATTATTGTTCTTTTACTTAATTAAGAAGAAAGGAAGGGAATTAATGGAATTTTTTGTAAAAAAAAAGTTAATAGGTATTTAGCAAAAGAAAGGTCGAATTATTGAAGAAGAAGGAATGGAGAAGTTAATGGATAGATAAGGTGGATGGATGAATTAGTTCTTTTCTTCAAGTTAATGTTTCAAGATGAAAAAACGCCTTTTATAAACTTTACGCACAGCGTCAAGTATGAAACACCAATTACCAAAAAAAAAAAATTATACTTAAAAAATTTTTCTTCAAAGAATGCGAAGAAAAAATTTACGAAATTTATGGAAAAATAATAATGGAGAGAAGGAAAAGATATTTAAATAATAAATTATTTAATAATAATTTAGTGTTAATTATTAATTAAATATGTCAAACAGTGCTAAATTGACAACACAAATTAAAACAATTAACATTAAACAATTTTCTTGAGCGACAAATTTGTGTTACAGCCGAATAATGGGGTTTTTTCGGACTTGTTTCAAAAAATCACTAATTTTAGATAATAAATAATCCATGTCTATACTGCCATGTTATTATTATGTATGTAATCTATGCGCTCCAAAATTTTGAATATTTTTTTATTATAACAACAATTTATAGTTAAAAACATTGAATATGATGATGGTAATCGTAATAATATTTATTATATAAACATTCTGCGAAATTTTAGACGAAATTGAAATATTGCTAATGTCTGTATTGTTTGGAACTGCTTGTGGTTTATCTGTTACAGTTGACTGCGAGAATGTACCTTCCTGAAGTGTATACCTAAAAATTTATTATCGGAAAAAAAAAACCTCCATTGAAAAAAAATTCATAAGATTGCAAATTATTTAAAAAAAGAGAAGAGGGAGATATTTACCCTAACGTTTCTAATAGCAATTTTACATTTGGCCCTATTGGACCTCCTTGATATCCACCGTTAAATTGGCTCAATGTTTCTACAGTGGCACCACGAATTGCTCTCCACAACATAATCAAATCTGCAGTTTTATTATAACTTATGGCACTTAAATGTCCTAACGTTGAACCAGGAGAATAAGGTATCGCAGTTTCTAACATAATTTGTGTATTATTGTGTGATAAAAATGCTACGTCTTGAGGTGTGGTTGCGGCCGTAAATATATCTTTGGTTATCTGGTATTGGCTTGAATTTGTCCATTCAGTTACAAATTCTAGATAGCTAGGATAAATTTTATTGATCCCGGAAAACTTATTGAGCTCCACAGTGAGGTTGCTCATGCTTGTAACATTCGTTGGTGAACCTTGTTGTAGCAGTATCATGTTTTTATCAAATACTGTTTCAACGAATCCAAGCAGTTTGAATGATTGAGTGTTATTTATGACAACTGGGGTTGGCGATAAAGCAGACAGACTAAAATAATCTCTCCATGTCTGAACAAGTCCTAAACCGTGAATAATTTCATGCATTACCACCAATACAAAGTCTACTTGAGTTGCTCCGATTGGTGGATCTCCTTCAAACCAAAAATTCGCTCTTGTACTAAATTTATTTATTCATTCAAAATATATATATGCGTATGCATGCATATGTGTATATGTGTATGTGAATGAGTGTGAGTGTGTGTGTGTGTGTGTGAAGTGAGAAAATAAAAAAATCAATACCTAAATCCTGCAATAATATCAACATTGAAAAACTCAGGTGCCTCAGGTAAGTTTAATTGTTTTACAAGTGCTTGAGGATAAAAACGAGTAATATTATCGGTATCATTTAACGGAATAAGTCTAGAAGGACCGGCACTGCCTTATGTATTAATTATTAAATATTAGAAAGTAATCATAATTATTAATTAAAATTACTGATTAATTATTATTATTACCTAATGGTCCTACGTCATTTCCGGTACAAGTTGGACATAAGTCATCAAATATAGCTTGTAAAATTATGGGTGCCTTCAATACTAAAAATGTCGGAAAAATTTTTGCTGCTCTATCAAATCCTAACTTTGCATTATTACAAATTGTTTCGTTAGAAACTCCGCATGAAAATTGAACTTGAATTGTATTTGCAGTATCGTTTACTAAATAATTATTAGTTAGATCATTATTCTTGACAATTTTACAATCGGATTGTGTTCTAACCATCGGATGTAAAAAATCAGGCATGTCATAACATGTTTCGGACAATATTAAATTACTAAAATTTATTATGACGACGATCAAAATTAAAAGAGCGTTCATTTTTCGCTATTTTAATATAACAATAATTTTATACTTCTTTTTTTTAAAAAAAAAAAAAAAGAAAAAAAAAGGTGAAAAGAAGAGCAAAAATGATTAGGCGAGTATTTATTTATTTATTTATTTATTTATTTATTTATTTATTTATTTCAATAATTAAATTACTTGAATGATTTTTTGATTTTAGAAAAAAAATCTATAATTAGCATAATTAGTTACTATTACACCAGAGTTTATTTCACAACAAATTAACCAACTTGCTTATTATTACACAATGTATCACCTTTTTTTTGTCTTTTTCAGCCAATCCAAGGATTTACAACAAGGGTTAACCTCTTACTATTTGAGACGTCGATCCTAAGGTTAAACCTCTTACCGGTAAACCATAAACCAATCTACTAATTAAAGGTTGAACCTCATGTTTTGAGAATGTAGATCCTTGGATTGGGTGGTTTTTGGTTTTGATAATCCCAATTACTGATTTGAGTACCACCCCTTGCACATTAGGATTATAGCAGTCAATTTTGCAGAGAGATTGGGGGGCCTTCAGATATTTATTTTCTGGCAATGATTTGATGAAATTTGTCGTTGGTTGCTTAATAAATTATTTATTATTAAAACTTACAATCTCCTTATTTTAAAGTATTTTTGTCGGCTATAAATAATCAAATTTTTTTAATGCATGATAATTTTGCAACGAATCGTGAATCGTCAAGGTTACCTACCCCGTGTAATATTAACCATGAAATTTCGCCTTTAAAATCTGTTTCATTGAAACTTTTCTCCAAAGAAATAAATACAAAACAATCAAATCATATCAGCCAATTTGGTTTTTTGGGCTTTTTTTCAAACCTTATGTCTTATTGTGTCTCGATGTTAAACACGAGTATTTTTAATGTGTAAACTGGTCGGTAGAATGATAATTACCCTAAAAAAAATTATTTGCTCCGCTAAAAAAACTAATTTACTATCCATCAACCCGTCAAACCAATGGCCCCACCTCAAAACCAATGGGTTTTTGCTAGTATAAAGTATTCATAACGTTATGATCATACCGTACTGGATTTTGGGGTTCAAACAAAATCAGCGCATATTTCTAGCCACACCGAATGTATAAATTAATTAATTAATATTTTTCAAAAACATGCTGATTATGGGTTTAAAGTTTTCTTTTGTTAACAACTTATTCTGCTTCTAGATTATATATGAAGTGAAGTTGTTAAATTGGATCATCGAAAATAATTTTAATGATAATACAAATTATAATTCAAAAATGTTTTTTTTTTGTTAATAAAATTCATGATTTCTATGTCACTTGCTAGTTGAGCAACTAATCGTCTAGGTAAATATTTACTGCCACCCATACTTGCCCATAAATCAATTATTCTATGATAATATTTTCAGTTTCCAAATCTTTACAATAACAAATAGAGAATTAAAAAATAAAGAAATAAGTAACCTGACAAATTATGACAAATTCAAACTGCATATATTTTGTATATTCTGAGGTCTGTTAATTGTATAAAATAATCTGTAAGTTTTAATTGAATCTTTTAAGAATTCTTTTCCAAAATCTAAAGAAAACCAAGTATCATTAATGAGATAAAAATTAATCTGTAAGGCACTCTCGCATCTTTATATATAGATGCCAAACTCTGCCCACTTGGTTTTAGTATCATCATATTTTCAATTATTTCGATTTTTGACTAATTTCACACTTTTTTGTGCGCTTCGTAATATCAGTTGTTGAAGGATTTATACAATGTGTATACTTGGCATCGTAATTCAGTAATAATTACGGGATCACTGTTCTAAAAATTAATTACTATTACTAAATAATACTACAGCAAGAAAGTTTGAAAACCGTAATTCCGTAAAGATGATTGGTTTCGTAAGTAATTGTTTATTATTATTACAAAGAATTTGTGCATCGAGAATCAAATGTGCCTGATTGTTAATACAAAATTTTGCAGTTTAAATAGAAGTAATTTCAATTAATGGCTTATAATAATAAAGGTAAAAAATTATGGCCTAACATTCAGAAAGCCAATGTTTATCTAGTCGCAAGGAAATAGGTAATCTTATATATTAGCAGTTAATATTAGCATTAATTATTCATATCTGAAGTCTTATCAAGGCATTTCTCCTTTTCATTTCGGATGAACTCCTCACATGTAATAGTAACCTTTAAAATCTTATTCGTTGGCAATAAGAATTTTCTGCTTGATGACTTTAAAATCTTACGTGACTCTTCTGCTATTCCTGTAAAAGGCATTGATCTGTCACTCAATATTTCATAATGGTAACCATATTCCAAATTTTGCTTGCAATTTGCCCTACACACTTTTCACATGATCTTCAATGTCAAACATTTCCCAAGGGTTATTAATTCTTACTTTTATTATTTTTGTGATAGAAATAGCTCATTGCTTAATTTTCCTAACCAGGAACCTCTAATGATGATATATTTATTGTTATAGGCGGACTATTATATTCGTATGCTTTTGAGCTTCATAGTGATCACCATAACAGTCATCCGTAATTTCACGGGATAGACATGTCTACTGCTGTAGCTATTAATATCACATTGATTAAATGGTCCAGATTTAATTTTGAAAAATAAATTTATTGATCATATAACAAAATGTGCGCATTTTTGTGTAATACAAACCTGCACTAAATTGGTTCCACGTGATGTGTTGGTGAAAAGTGCTATACAGTGTGTTTCAAAAAAAACCGGAAAAATTAAATCAATCATTGTGGAACAACCACTGCATTGATTTGTATGAAAAATGGCCCATTCGATAGTACTTTTTATTAACTATACTTTAATACAAAATGCTTTCACTATTAGTTTTAATTAATAAACCAACATCTTGATTTTTTGATCAAATTAAACTAATTAGAAACAAATCAGGAATTAGA